TCACTCCGTTTGTACGAAGTTTATAGAGGGTTGGCGTCGACTCTGGCGATACATAATCGTATCGAAAGCCATCAAACGATATGACTATAAGAATCGGTGGACTACTTATTGGACTGCAATTTATTAGCAGAAATACATTTAGAAATAATATTATTTTTGTAATTAACGTTACATTCTTTGAAAAAATATACATTTTAGTAACATTTAGCTTAAATACAGTAATGACATCACATTGATCATAGGATAACCCCATGCAATCAGTTGTGAACCCATACTTATCGTACAAACATGTGTTAGCACTTACGGGTAATCATTAACTTTTTGATTTAACAGTTATATTGTTAATAAAAGTTATAACAAATAATAGATACTGTTGAAATATCAATATTACAGTAAATGTATATTGTCATGATGACTTTTAAATCTGCTTAAATATTTAACTAGACAGTACTAGTAAAACAATAAAATAACTTGGTTTATTTTATATAATGCTATAATAATTTTGTTTTATTAATAAGTACTGAAATTATATTAAATCAAACGGTTTACTACTGTTTGCCAACAAATCAATGACATTATCGAGAGAACCATTACTCGGAAAAGACTTTGACGGAAGGCCTAACACTTGTAACATAAGTGGAAAGAGATCTGTATTGAGAAACACCCGGTTGTGATAATATCGACGCTTAAACGCCGGTCCACTCGCCATGAATAGCGGCCTCATTGATGTCAACCGGTTATCCCACCCGTGATTACCCTTTAAAAGCACCGGACTGGCCGTCCGATGCACTTCCCATCCCTCATCTGCGATGAGAAAAATGGGTAGAATTCTGCGATTATTCCTGTAGTGGTAGCGCTCAGGGATGTCAGCCTTTTTATAGACAGTAAAAGGTAGTGTTTTCGATGCGTTCAGTAGTATCTCATAGACATTGTCCAAAAGACCCGGCTTAGGAAGTATATGCCAATCTGGAGAATTCCCGTACATGTCGTACATATTAGGGTCTATTATGTCATTTAAATTGATTTCTTGGTTTTCCCTAAAAATAGTATTAATTATTAAAATTAGTTTACAATTTATAACACTTTTGTTGGAAATTATACTTGATTTCAGCGAATCCATGGTCTGATAGTATTATTAAATTAGTTTTGTTTAACAAATTCTTTGTATCCAAACTTTGCAACAAATATCCCACTATATTATCAGCCCTTCGCACCTGACCTTTGGTTTGGTTACTAAAAGGTCCACAAATATGCGAAGTAGTGTCCGGCTCATCGAAATATAAGAAAATGCAATTAGCCGGTTCACTTTCATGGGTTATCCACTCTACAATTGTATCGACTCTTGTATCCCATTGCATCGTATGGTTATAGCTTTGATGGTATCTAACGGTTTGATTCCTATACATGACTTGACTACTGGGCCATTGCATTGACCCACTCCTGCGACCGTACAATTGGTTTACAATCTATAGGTTTTCATTTCATATGATTTTCATTACACATTTTGACCATAAAAGTGTTATTAAATGATTATAAAATGATATACCCAAACAGGTGTGCCCGACCATTCAGTCCACCAATAATCGGGTGAATTCTCGATATCAAAGGTATCGTTATATTTGGGATCAAAGAACTCATTGTTAATGATTCCGTGGTTCTCCTCATAGAAACCGGTGGCTATCGACTGGTGATTGGGAAATGTCTTGGTCGCGAAGTTTGATATCATATGACCTGGGTATTTATATTACATGAAGTAATTTAACTTATCATAAGACTGGTATAAAACATTTTTAAAAATTTATTTTATCATTTATAAACTGTAACTGTGAATGAATAGAATATTCTGTAGTTTTATTATACAAATCAAATTCTTATATTTCGGAGCAGTTAGGTGAAAATTTTAAAAGTACATCATTATAATATAATCATTTTAAACTAATAAATATTTTGCTAATATTAAAGGCAATTACTACTGTATTTTCAAGTAATTTTCAAGTGCTGTTCACTGACCTCCCGCTCCATTCACAGCCAATTTGTATAGATTTGGTGTCGATTCTGGCGATACATAATCGTATCGAAAGCCATCAAACGATATGACTATTAATATGGGTTCACTACTATTTGGGTCACAATTTATTAGTTTTAATAAGCATACTAACACTTGTAGTTTAACAATATTGGTATATGTTTGAAAATAATACATTTTCACTTATTATGACTTTAATTTATTATACTTAGCTATACACAGCTCTGTAATACAAATACTCTTAAAATGGTTAGTTAATTTCTTAGAATATCTACATTTATATACTGATATGTGCTGGATGATACTGTGTCAATATTTAGTTTTGATAAGTAAAATTGCATTTCAACTGTAACCTAGGTGAATCTAATGTGTAACCTACGTTTAAAATTGCATCAATGATCAATTTATCAATGATTATCCCTATTGAAATGTAAGGTACTAAACTTAATGTACAGTACTTTTCTACATGCATCACAAATGACGATTATCATGCAACATTTCGCGATTAGTAAAAGTTTAATCAAATCGTATTTATAATCATTAAAATAATCATTAAAATTATGTTAAAATTATATTGTTTCCGGCGTTGGCGATTATGTATAAAAATAAATTTATTTTCCTTTTAATTAACTAGTATGTTTTATCTATATTGAATAACTAAGTTCATAACTAATGTTTAATGCGAATAAGTCCATAAAACATAGGTTTTAACTGGTCTCATATTTAATTTATTAATTTATATAACTAAGTTAAACTTGTATTGGTTTACAAAACTATCGAGCTTATTTTATATATTATTAATTGTTAGACCAATTGAATTTCAACTAGATAACTATTTTGATAAAAAATAGTAACACTTTTAGAATAAAATTGCATTAATTGAAAATTTAATTTATCTCATTACATGTTTAAATTAAATTTAATTTTTACCTATTATATATACTGAGTACCAGTATTTAGTACATATAATAAAATACAATTTAAAAACTATATTTAATAACGAATTATATCATTTGAATCAATGATTAGCCAACAAATCGACAACACTATTGAGTGAGCCATCACTTGGGAACTGCTTAGAGGGAAGTCCTAATATCTGTAACATAAGTGGAAAGAGATCTGTATTGAGAAACATCTAATAAATTGCAGTCCAATAAGTAGTCCACCGATTCTTATAGTCATATCGTTTGATGGCTTTCGATACGATTATGTATCGCCAGAGTCGACGCCAACCCTCTATAAACTTCGTACAAACGGAGTGAGCGGTAAGTAAAACATGTATTTCCCATCAAATCAAACTTATTTTGCAAACCGCAGGTCACATGATATCAAACTATATCACCAAAACATATCCCAATCACCAGTCGATAGCCACCGGTTTTTATGAGGAGAACCACGGGATAGTATCCAACCATTTCTATGATCCCCGATATAACCAGACCTTTGACATCGATAAATCACCCGACTATTGGTGGACTGAATGGCCCGTCACACCTGTCTGGGTATACCACACATTCAAAACAACATCCCTTTCCTATTGTTTTGTTATACCTTTTAAAAGTATTAATGTTTTATTCAAATCAATAGACAGTAAACCAATTGTACGGACAGTCCAGTGGTGTAATGCAATGGCCGGGCGCTCACGTCAGATACCGGGACCAATCGCCCCGTTACCTCCAAAACTATAACCACTCCATACCATGGAATACAAGAATTGATACAATGATCGGGTGGTTAACAGACGGCAGAGCACCGGCCAGTTGTGTATTTGCCTACTTTGATGAGCCCGACGCTACATCCCATGAATTCGGACCATTCAGTACTCAGACTTATAGTCAAGTGCTTAGGGCTGATGCTGTCATCAGATATCTGTTGCAGAGATTGGATGAAAAGAGTTTATTAAACCAAACGAATCTTATTATTCTGTCAGACCATGGATTCGCTGAAGTGAGGCATGAATTTCAATATTATTTCAATGCTTAAACGAATTGCAGAATATTCTGTGTAATATTATAAAAGTTTTAATTGTTTGTAAAAAATTAATTATTATCTCAGAGCTAATCGTGTGATTAACTTGAATGACATACTGGACCCCAGTTGGTACGACTGGTACGGAGGTTCTCCCAACTGGTCTATACTACCAAAACCCGGTCATTACGATAAGATCTATGAAATACTATGGAAAGCCTCACAGACTATGCCTTTTACCATCTATAAGAGACAAGAGATACCTGAGCACTACCACTACAGTAGGAATCGCAGAATATTACCTCTATTTCTTGTAGCCGATGAGGGATGGGATGTGTTTCAGAATGTGAGTCAAGTGCATAAACCTAAGGGTTGGCCCGTTTGGGGTAATCACGGGTGGGATAACCGGTTGCTATCAATGAGACCACTATTCATGGCCAATGGACCCGCGTTTAAGAGCA